CGGACGTGCACGGACAGATCGGACTGGCGGGTTGCCTGCCGTGGACATCTGTCTAAGGCGGACGGACTTGTATTTCGTAAGGAAGCAAAAACGCTTCCTTACAATATATATATATATACACCGATGCCAAATGTTAAATTAATAAGGAAGAGTTGCAGCAAATGCCTTTCAGTTTTTATCTGTATGCTTCCTTTAACTCGCAAGTAGACTACATATGCTGGCTTTACTTTGCGTGTTATAAATTAGAAAACAAAAGACCCACAAATACATAGGAACACACATTAATAGCTAGGTTAGAAGACAATTTCAAATGTAAATAAAGTTTTCAAAAATTCTTGTAAATCCACGCTTATCTCTTTGCAAGTCATTTAAACGATCATCGATGATGGCAACGTGCGCTGTGATGCCGCCACAGATGCGTACACAAAGGACGGCTATCACAGATTTTTTGACAACGCCTTATGTGATTATGCGTTTCCCATGTGACAAATTTAATTGTCTTCTTTGATCAATTTATTTCACTTTATTTTTTCACACATAAAAATCGGTAGAGCTGAATGATTTACCAGAACTTAGTTATCGTTCGATTTAATTCCTTAGATTTGAAAGACGCATCAAATAAAATAACAAATTGTATAAAACATTTGTATTTATTAACTTGAAAGTTATAAACCAAAATTATACTTAAAAATTGTGTTTGAATAAATTCTCACTTTCTTTTATTCTTGTATTTTTCCAATTATTCCTTTTTTTTTTTTATATGGCATAGCAGTCCTTTACTAACGAACTGGCGGCAATTTGCCGCGACGAGAATAACGGCAACAACGACAGAGACGGGTCAAAATGACGTTGCGCTTCTTGAACTTATCAAAGTATGGAATCTATTTGATAGCTCGATGATATGCATCCGAGCTAAGTAGTATGTAACCAGGATCTCTCATTTGATCTAGTCACAGTCTAAGTTTAATTTTAAATTAATTATTAATTAATTAAGTTAAATATAAAATTTAATGGGGCGGATTTTATTTTTTATGGGGTTTTTATCAAATATTGAACAGTGTGAAATATGAGCATAAACTAAAATTTGACGTAAGTGGGCAAGTTCTTTTAAGATTCTCGTGAGGAAAATCGACACTGAAAAGAGAAACATACTGCAACACGCACTACGAAATCTCTAAGGGTGCTATTCATACACTAATTAAATTACCATCAATCTTACTTCCCTCATGCGTCACACCTTGACCTTTGCGACCTCCTCCAGTCCCAAATTGATATTATTATACATATGTTTATTTAGAAAAGAATAAAAAGATTTATTTGTGCATTTTGTTGTCAGCCATGCTAACAATCTTATCAAGATTAGCGTGTAACGTTTTAAGTTGATTCAAAGTTTGAAGATCAATAGCATCCAAAATATCTGATTGCAGTTCGTTAAGCTTTTTCGGACGCAAAGAAATCACACCATTGCGTAAAGGTATATTGACATTAGCAAATTTGTCAGGTAGTCTGAAAGGAAAAATATTCTCAGCAACTTATTATGTATAAAATAATACGATTCTTACACTTGGGCTATAATAGGACTCCCATATTTCGAGACAACAAGTTCTCCAGGCTTGGGCCAACGCATAAAAGCAGCTGGTGGCGATGTAGGCGGTCCTTCAAAATGCATTTTTGATTTGCGTTCAGTACTATGAGCCTTGCTTTGTCTAGTGCCTAATTTACTACGGCTACGGTGTTCTAATATTTCGTTCTGATTACTATTTTGCCAAGACTACCTATTTATATGTCATACCTGAACTAATTGAAGGCGCATAGTCACCGCAAGCTGAACGACTGCGTCGCGGACGTCTAGCACGAGCTGATGTTAAAGGTCCTGGTGTACGCAAACGACTACCTAACTGAAGTTGCGTGTGATGCAAGCTAGATACATTTGCAAAAGCTCCTCCGGACGCTGCCAAGCCTACGTTGCCTCCGGTCGAGCTATCCTCTGTAAGGTATCCTACGCCATTAAGTGAAAGTGCAATATGTACAAAGGCATATGGTAGTATGTACGAAAAAAATAAAAATGTTAATCGCATTAAGGAAGCAATAGCAATCAATGCACACCACAATAAAGTCAAAGGATATTAACAAAAGCATACTACTAACCACCACCAATTTGATTATTCAGTTGATATTAGTGAACTAGAGAGATCTCGAATTGTTGCCGCGCCACAGCCAGCGCAGTACACTAAATAAAGTGATTAGTTATCACGTACAAATTTTCAAAAAGTAGTCAAGTGCTCAATTAAAACTTCACATCAATTTGCTTATTGGAAATAGTCAAGGCATCACATGCCGAAGCACGTTTTAAATGTATGTTGAATGCACATCTCTCTAACCAAACGTCTAATGCAGGTTGAATGCATTTATCGATAGAACATAAAGAAGTTTATATGAACAAAATGCCCATAGTTGGCATCGCCAGCTTACACAGTTTTAAAAATAATTGGCCTTACAATTGCAGTAATATTACTGGCAGCACAGTGCACATTTTTCGCTTGTGACTAACCTTTACACAACTAAAATGTGGCATGAATCTTCTACTATTGAACCCCTGAAAGCTTAATGTTTTTTATAAGGATTGCTAGCGTGTTTTCAGGCTGTAAAGACCAAATTAAATGATAGTTTTATATACTTTATGGACAACGGACAAGACGGATAAGAAAACTTAAGGGAATTAATATAAAATTTGTAATTAGTTAAACATCAAAGGAATTTTTTTATGTGTTTCTACTTGTTGCAAATGGAATAACAACCCTTATGCGGTGGAACCATGTAATGAAATACAAATATATTGTTGTGTTGCATGTTATTACCTTCATCGTTGGGATTGGTGAGCTTACTAGTACGCACTCCAGTCGAGTTGATGGACTCACATACTGATGCATCATCGAAACTATTCAAATTCTGAAGAAACAGATATTTATCAATTGTTTGATGTTACTATATCATTTAGATATATTACCAACTCTAAAAAATCGCCCATTTTCATACGTAAAAATTTAACTTTTGTTCGTTGCCGTACCATATTTAATTCAGCCTCCCATTCGCCAATGATTCCTTCTATATCGTTCTCCATAGTGCTGAGGTAGCCATTAAATGCGCTTTCGTATTCGCGGATTTTTTCTTCACGATATTCAGTTTCACGATTGCGTTTAGAACTTTTCGATACTTTGGTACGCGGCATTTTTCTTTTTATGCTTTTGCTTATTAAAATATCATTTCCCGCCTGCTTTGTATTAAAATGTGTTTAGCAGACAATATAACATCAAAATTTACTACTTTTTATGCACTCCTGAAATAACCCGAAATAAACTGAAATGGAACTTCACAAAAAGAAGAAAGAAGCAACTATAAAAACATATTCGATGTAGAAGGAACGAACTGAAACCGCGCGAGATGCCAATCCCTATTTGTACTTTGCCCCATGTAGGTTATGTTTTAATGGATTTTCATTTGAAGATTTCAAAAATGAAAATCGATTTATAAAAAGTTAAAACTTGTTTTCTTTTTATATACGTCAAAACATGAAACTGTCTTAAAGTAACAAATATAAAGGAAGCTAAGGAGCTATATGAGCGATTCTTGGGAGAAATTTCGTTGGCAATAATTTGCAAACAATATTTTCATTAACACAGGTGTTAGCATTTAGTTTTCTTTACGAATAACTGCCTTTTTACATAAGCACAACAATCATTCATCAATAATTTCATACGACAGCACAATAATCATCGCTTTGAATTATTCTTTCTAAAGTAGAATTCGCAAAATACAAATTAAAAGAAAATTGTAAAAACTGTTAAGATGCTTAAATTTGTGATAGGTAAGTCAAATACTAATAAATTGTAAAATATAAAAATATTGATATAAGATCAGGGAAAATCGTGAAACAAAAATTGTCAAAAAGGAAACGAAAAAAAAGTGAGAAATGTAATTCAATACTTCAATTCTTCGAAATCTGGCAAATTAAAGAAGAAGTAAACAATCTATCTTCGAATTCTGGCAAATTAAAGGACAAGTGAATGAGCGAGCCAGAATCACAACTTGTTTTTTGAACTTCGAATTGAGAAATAAGAAAGAGAAGTATGGTGCTGCCATAATTGCAAATCGCGAAAGATGTTGCCATAAATCGAAATTTACATACTATCCCTACAGAGTAGTATGACTAAGTATCGATAAATACGATAAATATATAAATGAAACGAACTTGTTCAACATAGATAGTGCTTCCATTAGAGGTGCGCTCATTGTTATGGCAGACTTTATTCATCGTAGTCAGAATTGTTATACTAATATATTGTTGATTCATTCGAATTAATGAAAATTCTTTCAAATAGCAGCTAACGTCAAGAGTATATCTTCTAAGTATGATAAAAATGAGTGAGGGCGGCATTTCATCGACACTCATAATTTTTAAATAAAAGAGAAATGGGTCAGGACGGCACAATCATCTAATCACCAATCATTTTTTCACTTGCAGACGCTTACAAAAATAAAAATGGCCTGCCACGTGCTAATTTGTCTCCTATAATATGTTTGTTTTTAAACATTAGCAGAATGTGTCAGTCGATGGAACGGGGTATTGAATGCATGCACTGATAAATGTGTAAATCGTTCCCGCAGTACTCTTCATTTACGCAAGTTGATTGTTTTAGTTTCTGTTAAAAATTGTCGTTTATACAAATGGGTTTTCTCGTTTGTGTGAGCATAAAAATTGACAAACAAATATCAGCTGTGCCGTGAAACATTTGACTTTGGTTTGTAGCATTAGTTAAAAATACAAACCTGTAGCACTGGTAAAAAATGATGAGGAAGAAAAATTATTAACAGACCTGGGAGCTTGAAATGCCTGTTACTTTGAGTCAAGAGATGTTTTAGATATATTTAGATCATCTCTGGGACGTTACACAATATAATACAGCCACATCCAGAAATCGTATGATATTTTTCAAAATATTATTATTATTATTTTAATTTTAGACTAATGAAATGAATTCTTAGACTAAAAAAAGACATTGAGCACTAGCAACACAGGCTATCGGGTCTAATTTAAATAAATGGATATTAGATAGTGAACTTAGTAGTATTAAAAAAGTAATATATTGAATTGATATTCTGTTCTGAAGCTGATTGTAGAATGTTCAAAGGGTTAATCGTTCCAAATGCAATACTTCTAGCCTAGGGAAAGTTGAGGCAATCGCAGAGAATGTGCTTTATAGTAAGAGTTTGTCCACAACAGCAGATTGGGGAAGAAGACTTCTTCAGGATCCATTGGTGAGTTGCAATTGTATGACCAAGGCGAATTCTCGAGAATGTTTGGATCTTGGTTTTCTCAACGTTTGTTGGATATAAAGGTGGAGTTAATTGAGGGTTAATAAAAGAGTAGTGTTGATGATGGTGTTGTAAATTTCCTTCTGTAATTTTCTCTTGAACTTTTCTTCCAATGTAACTTTGAAGATCCAACTTTTCCATGACATCACCCATAATTAGAGGAGCAGAAGCAGCATACTTTGCCGCCAAATCCGCCTGCTCATTTCCCAGTAAACCGATGTGACTTGGTACCCATAACATTTTAATTTTTCCGTCGGGTGTAGTAATTATATTCCTTAATTTGTTGATGGTGCTCCATCTCGAAGTCGAAGGATTCCGAACAGCTTGTAATACAGACAAACTGTCGGTAACAATAGCGGTTTTGAGTTTGTTTTTATGGGCAAGGTTGGCAGCGTGAAGGATAGTTCTGGCTTCCGTTGTGAAAGTTGAAGTACTTTCGTGATATATGTGGTTGAGAAGAACTCGTCCTGTAGCATCTACCACCGCACAAGCAGGAGGCAGACCAGGAGATTTTGAGCCGTCTGTGTACAAAAGATTCCAACCAGTACTGTCCAATACTTGGGTATTTTCAGCTATTAGATTCCTGAAGACGTAATTTGGAGTATCTTCTTTCTTGTGCATAGACAGTGAGATGTCAAAAGAGCAGTCTTTCAAAATCCAGGGAGGATTAACACCAAAAGAGCGGGAAATTTTTAAGGGAATGTTCAATTCCTTTGCGATGCACAAACAATGGTCAATTGCAGATGGTGATTTAGGAATTTTCTTCGCAATAATAATCTTTCTTACGTCATCACCGAGAATGGAGTTGTTTGAATTAAGAAGCTTAGGGACTATTTTAGCTTTTAACTCATACAGTCTATTTTCTAAAGTTGGGAGACCAGTTTCAATTATAATATTATTTATGGGCGTCGTCCGAGAAGCATAACAACTTGCTCTAACGGCTTGGTGATAGACCGGTTTAAGGATGTTGATATTCGATTTGCAGCTATTGCCATAAATTATCAAAGCATAGTCAATCTTGCTTAACACAAGCATTTTGGTAAGATAAGCGATAGTGTTAATATGCGCATGGCTTCTCCAAGCAACGTACTGTATGAAATTTACCCTTGTTAAAAGGGAGTTTTTTAAACGAAGGCAGTGTGCTTTCCAACGATAATTGTTTGAAAACGTGAGCCCGAGAACATGGAGCGTCTGCACATTTAGTACTGGTAAGCCGTTAATATGCATCAGTAGGTTTCCTGCATCGCACATTTGTTTTCGACAAATGTGCATTTTTTTTGATTTTTGTATAGATATTATAGCTCCTGACGAGTTTGCCCATGTGGAGATCTCACATGCAATAGATTCGAGGACGTTGATTGCTTTCGTGTTGTCTTTTTCTTTTGTAAAAATGTATACATCGTCCGAGTAGAGACAATGTTCCACTCTTGGTACACGGCAAAGAATTTCGCTAATTTCGTTGAAAGCGATCTGGAAAAGCGTGACAGAGAGAGGAGATCCTTACGGAATGCCATTCTTTAGCGGAAAGGAATCAGAAAGATGATTGTTGATTCTAACTTTGAACCGCCGAGGCGACATGAATGATTTGATGTAGTTAAAGAACTTGGGTCCAACATTCCATGATTTCAAGAGTCTTAAGATAACATGAAGACCAACTCTGTCAAATGCTTTTTTGAAATCAATTGAGAGAATTGTTACGTGATTTCGTTCGGAAATTGCTTTGCTTGTGAAATAATCAATATGTAACAGAGCGTCGATGCATCCTCTACCCCGCTTGAAACCAACTTGTTGCTTTGTTATCAGGTTCTTGGATTCAAGAAACCAAGATAATCTAGATGCCATAATCTTCTCTAAAACCTTAGAGAGGCAAGATAAAAGAGAAAATCAGGCGATAATCAGATGCGATGGAGACATTTTTTGACTTTGGAATTGGAACAACTGTTGCCATTTTCCACATGTAGGGTATATGGCCAGTCATAAATACCGTATTATATAGGTCCAGTAATTTATTTTTACTAGACTTAGACATAGCACTGATCATTTGGTATGAGATGCGGTCTAGACCAGGTGTCGTCCCCTTCAAATTGGAGAGACAACTTCCAAGTTCTGAGTTAGATACGCAATTTTCCAGGAACATGGCACATCTATCGATATTATTTGGAGGAGATATTGGAGTCCTTTTATTTTCAATGAAAGCACTGGAGAAGTTGCTGTCAAAGGAGTATTCGCACCACACTTTTCCAAAGTAATTAGAAATCTCATCTGCGTCAGTTAAAGTTCCATTGGGAGTGCAGATGGCAGAAATTTCGTTCAGGTTTGAAGTCCCATTAAGTCTGTTGATTTTGTTCCAGACAACTTTCATTGATGTATTTCTGTGAATTCGTCTCGAGAAAAGTTCGAAACTAAGTGCCTTTGATTTCCGTAATTCCTTCCTGAATAGAGCATTGGCCTTTTCGTATAATAACAAGTGATTCTGATCAGGACATCTCTTAAAGCGGTGCCATAGATCCATTTTATTTTTCCTCGAAAACGAAAGCGTGTTGTTCCACCAAGGAACCCTAGCTCGTTTAAAAGAGGTGTTGGATTGAGGAATAGAAAGATGAGCAGCCGTGCGAATCGCTTTAGACATAATAGCAGCATCATGGTTGCAGTTTCCGTTAAATGGCTTTGAATTCAAAAATGACTCCACTTGTTTGGAGTAATTGATCCAATCCGCTTTATCTAGGGGGAATTTGGCCTGTTTTGCTGGAGTAGCAGAGGACGTTGAAAGTTTAAGATCGATTATGATTGGAAAGTGATCACTATTATGTAGATCATCAGAAATAGACCAGGACACCAAAGGAAGAAGTGATGGAGAGCAACATGTTAAATCAATATGTGAAAAAGTATGATGAGTTGAGAAGTGCGTTGGTTTTCCATCATTTAAAACGCAAAGGTTGCTTTGAAAAAAGGCCTTT